GTATAGTCTTCATCTCTATGTGTAATATAGGTCAAGGACTTTGATTTCTCACATGACTTTTTTCATCTAACTTTCTTGTCACTGTCTTGGGCTGGTAGGCAGAATTTTCTAGTCTTCTTTCATTTAGGAAGCAGTCAGCTTCCTAATTTTTTTTCCCCAAAGATCTCATTTCCAGGACTTGCCTTAGAGTGGCTATAGGGCCTCATCTTCTGTTTCCATATTAATGTCACTTATATCTGATCTGATATCTCCTTTCCTCAGATTAGGCTTGTGAGTTTGCACTCTGGCTTTTAACTTTTATCTTCATTTCTGACACCTGAGTATTACCTCTCTTGCCTTTGAGCTCAGCCATGAATGAAAAAAAAAATTTTTTTATCATTTGTTGGTTAAACTATATGAAGTTGTTGTTAACCATTTTGACCTAGAAAACTCAAGCGTTTCATAGGACTCAAACTTGATATTTTATTGGGTTTGCAATATTAGAAGATTATATCTTAGTCCTTATTGTTGTTTTCACCATTTTATATCATTAGATGTTAGGAGCACAGAATCATTTCCTTCTTTTTTCTGGGATTTTCTGGGACTGGATGATTTCTCTTTCTAGCCTCGCATGATAGTACTGGTAGAGGGCCCGAGACTTAGACTTATTTTATTTATGAATATTTATGCAAACTTAGAAATAAAATACCCAATCAAACCTAGCAATATATTTGATAATAGAGTAATAATAGTCTCTAATCTCTTAATAATGTTTCTCCTTTACTCCTCTTCAGTGTACAATTCATTACTTAAATTGGGTCAGTTTGAAAAAAACAGTGGTATATATTTTGACAAAAACTTTCTCCTAACCGAACTCCTCTGAGCCCTCTTGAACAGGCCTAGACTTTAGGCTCTGTCCTAAAGTGTACATTGTCCAGTTTTATCATGAGTCACATCTACCTAGTTTAGAACACATATGCTGTCCTTGATATCTGATCTCGCCTGCCTTCAGCAAGAATTATTTCAGGTCAGTTTAGCAAGAATCACTGACCCTTAATGTCTCTTCTTAGTAATTTTCCATCCATTGACCTCCTCATTCTGTTCTATGGGTATAAATCCTCACTTGTCCTTACTGTATTTGGAGGTGAGCCCATTCTCTCTCCCCTATTGTGATAGTCTTGCCACCTATCACAATAGTCCTGAATAATATCCTCCTTACTGTGTTAACAAATGTCATGAATAATTTTTTCTTTAACAGTTATGATGCTGCTGTGATTTGGATAGGATCAAATTCATCATTGGACCCCTGGGCCTCTCACCCAGAATCCCAAGTGCGCACCTTTGCAGCCTTTATCTTCACACCTGACTGATTGATCGGGGATCCATTGGTGAGTCTGATTCCTGAGCCAGTGCTCCAGATGTCTGTCCATTGAAGTACTGTGAGGACAGATTTTGACCCTTACTCTCTAAAACTGGATTAAAGTTCCAAGCTTCTTTGTCTGAAAGGTACCTTCCAGGCTGGAAATATTTTCCTGGTTCTTTCTTTCAAGTAGGAATTCACTCCTGAATCTTAGACCACATGTCTTTCTTCCTGGCTTTTTGTTTTGAGAGGAGATTCACTCCCTGAGTCGTAGGCTGGAAAAACTTCCTGGCTGCTTATGGCATTTCTTTGTTGTCTGTATTTGATCCCATAAGAACTCTCCAGTTTACTAACCCCACCCCACGCCCCCACTTTTTTTTTCTTTAGTTGGAGTCTCACTCTGTCTCCAGACTGGAGGGCAGTGGCCGCTCCCGGCCACCACAGCCTCAACCTGCTGGGCTCTGGCGATCCTTCCGCCTCAGCCGTCCAAGTAGCGGGAACTACAGGCGCGCACTACCACGCCCGGCTCATTTTGATTTATTGTAGAGATGAAGTCTCGCCAAGTTGTCCAGGCGGATCTCGAACCCGCGTTTGAACCCTGATGAGACTATGCTCCACCAACTCTCTCTGCCTCCTCTTTAGTTGGCATGATTTTTGCTAAGGATGATTTGGAACTTCAGTGGCCTCTTTGGGAAGCTTCAGGTCTCTCCAAACTGGCTCCTCTAAGACTTCTTCCCTCCCATCACCTCTGCTCTTCCTTCCAGCTTTTAATACCTTTTATCTTCCTTCTGTTCCCTTGATATGTCCTCCTTCATATCCTTACCTCCTCCATCTCTCTACTCATACCAGTCCCTCAGCTCCTTTCAGTCACTTGAACTCTAGGCTCTCTTCCTACATCAGAGTCTCTCAAGCATCTCAGGGCCCCCCAAAAGCAACTACCTGAGACTGAAAAGGAAAAGTAGTACATTGGAAACATACTAGATGTTTTTATCCACTTAAGTAGGCTTTGGAAACATCTAGACAACTTTTTTTTTGTCACCACTCTCCTAGAATGTAGTGTACAGCCTCCATAAGATTACATATCAAAGCTAGGCTGGGTGGCTCAGCCTGTAATCCCGTGCTTTGGAGGGCTGAGGTGAGTGGATTGCCTGAGCCGGCGGGTTCGAGACCCGCCTGGGCAAATTGGCGAGACCTCATCTCTACAGTAAATCAAAAAATTAGCCAGGTGTGGTAGCGCGCACCTGTAGTTCCGGCTCCTTGGTAGGCTGAGGTGGAAGGATCGCTGGAGCCCAGCAGGTCGAGGCTGCAGTGGTCGGTAGCATGCCACTGCACACCAGTCTAGACGATAGAGTGAGACTCTAATTAAAAAAAAAAAAAAAAGATTACTTATCAAGACAAAAGAAAATCTTAAAGGCTTCCTCACAAGTATTAGCAAAAAGCATTAGCCCTCATATTAATCACATAACCTTGACTTGTCCCATTTGTCAAAAACATAATTGCAAGTATTTTATATAAACCAATGGGTTTTGTGTTACTATATTTCACCTGACTCATGGCCAAAGTTTTATAATAAATCTATAAGAAATCTATTTATGTCTTTCTCTATGTATGTATATGTATGTATGTTATATATATGTGATATTTTCTTACCTTGGGATGGTATTAACAACTTACTTTTTAAAACCTCTTAAAGGAGTCCTATTAAAATTGGCTTAGAGCTAAACAAGCACTTATGTAAATTAAATATTCCTAAAACTCTCAGAAATACAGAAACCCAAATTATTTTCAAATTAACCTGACTTGGATAAATTTTTGTCAAATAAAACTAGTTGGGTATTGCTGGTTTAATAAAAACAGCTCTGTCCTCTGAGTTATCAACATTAAATATCATATCAGCATTCGTTTTTATTTTACTTGGGATTACTAGTCAAATAAGCTTGTTATATCTACTAGCTACTTAAGTTATATCTTAAATAGTTATATCTACTAGATATGTAAACAATTATAAATTTAACCTAAAAATCATTGTACAAGTGAAGATGCAATATAAATCAATTTTTGATATCTACTATTTCATGTTTATCAAATGAAGCAATAAAGCAACAATAATAAAAACATATTTAACATACATTTAACATATTTAACTTGATTTAGTTTATGTGCTTTTGTGATTTTTTTAATGCTTATCTAACATGCATGTTGTGTACGAATGGTTAACAAGAAAACTTGAGATGATAGCTAGCTTTGTCTAATGTTATATCTTTCTAAAAATAGTTACAGAAACTTTTTAGTAACTTTTTAATTTTATTTTAAAGATATGGGGTACAATTCAGGATTAGGTATACAAGTGGTCATCATACAGGTAAAGTTTGGGCTACCTTAGTAACTTCTTATTTTAGAGTTATGTTGTATTAAATTAAGTAATAGGTATTCATTGATAATTTCTAAGTAAGATAAAATGCTAAAACATTAAAATGTAAGATAAAATGCTAAAACTTTAAAATGTAAATTTAGGCCAGGCATGGAGGCTCAACCTGTAGTCCCAGCACTTTGGGAGGCCGAGGCAAGAGGATTGCCTGAGCCCCAATGTTTGAGACCAGCCTGGGCAACTTGGTGAGACCTCCTCTCTACAATAAATCACAAAAATTAGTCAGACGTGATGGCTTATGCCTATTGTTCCATCTACTTGGAAGACTGAGACAGAAGGATTACCTGAACCCAGCAGATTGAGGCTGTGGTGACCATGAGCCTGCTACTGTACTCCAGCCAGAGTGACAGAGTAAGACTCCAACTCAAAAAAAAAAAAATGTAGACTTACATTTATATTCTTTTGGTTTTTTATTTTAATGTGATACAGAGAGGCCAAATATATCTGGGTCTGATTATAAATGTGTCCTTTTTGCCACATTGAAAATTTTTGCTATGAAACAAAATATACCTATAAAAATTGTGAGATAGTATGTTCATAAAATATGCTAGTCTGCTCTAAAATGCTGTATTTGACAGGCAATTCACAATTGTTTACTTTGTAGTTTTCCCTGTGCAACAAAGAGTACTGGTGTATACGAACACTTTGAATGGAAAGTGTGCAAGGAATGTAGAATGTGTTTTTGTCTAGAGAAAGAGAGAGTAATTTTGTCTTGAACTTAAATGACTGATCTAAGATGAGAAAGGAAAGTTTAGGACAACAGAGAAATCTGAATATAGAAAGTTAGAAGGCTTGTGTAAAAAGGATTTTATGTTGCATGGTCAAAGCTGGCTAAGGTTGGATGGTTTTATTAATAAGGCTTTTTAAAAAACACATTAAATGGTATTAAAATCAAAAGTGCACTAATGCAAAGCTAAAATTTGATTATTTCTCTGTTAAAATAACAAAGTTTTCTTGGGTATTGGTTTGCTCTCAATAAAAAAATTGTCAGTTATTTTTTAATTTTAAAATAATTTGTCTAGAAAACAAAGATTCTTTATCTTAAAATAATTTCCCCTATGATTATTTCAAAAAAGTTTTTACCCATAGAAATTTCAAAAACAAGACACACAACTACAAAGTGAGGATTATTTTGCTTAAATCTAACTATGAGAACTCAAGGAAAATATTTTAGAGCACAGAAAACTTTATTATTATTATTTTGTTTTCTTTATTTTTTACATATTTTTCAGACTTGGGATGTAGCTTTATCACGGACTGCTAGAGCGTGGGGGAAAAAATGTGTGTTTGAGCGTAATCCTTATTTAGAAGACTTAGAAATGGTCCATCCTAAATTTCATGGTATTGGTGAAAATATGTGGGTCGGCCCTGAAAATGAATTTACTGCAAGTATTGCTATCAGAAGTTGGTATGCAGAGAAGGAAAAGTATAATTTTGAAAATGACAGTTGCTCTGAAGACTGTTCTCATTATGTTCAGGTATCTAATTTTTATATTTTAATTCAATAGATTTGCTTTACTGCCTAGTTTTATTATGTTTCAAATTTCTAAATAAACTCAAATTGTAAAATTATTACGTCTAATAAAATCACAATTTTAATCAGTTTTAGAGTTTCAAAATTCCATCTATTATATGAACCATACAACTAAAACATTCTTTTAAATGTAGTAAACTTAATTTCTATACCCAATGATGAAAGGCACTTTCTAAAAGTAGTGCACACTGGAAAATGAAGTAGGAAACCAGTAATAAAAAATGTTTTTAAATTATTGACCATAAACATAAGTAAAAGACTTGATATTTTTGCCACTGACCAGTGTAAAAATTCTACTATGTAGCTGATTAATTAAAACACTTAAAATGCAAGTTAGTGGTATTATTTTCTAACATCATGTGCAACAATCCTCTTGTGCAGACTCACACTTTATGCTCCAGGAATACTGAACCACTTTTCATTTTCTGTACATAACTTTGTTATTTTACATGACACATTGTTTAATAATCATCTATTTATATGTCTGATACTACACTGAGCACAGGGACCTTGTCTTTTCTTTCATATATTCTCAACACAACAACATAACATTATTTAGGCCTTCAATAAATATTTGTTTCAGGAATCACGAAATTATTTAATGAACTCCCAAATTTATGTAAAAGATGTTTTCAATCAATAGAGCTTGATGTCATGTTTTATGTAGAACTTAACACTTCAGAATTTGTTCATGTTGAATTCGTGTTTTTCTGTTCCATCCAATGAATTACACTTCAAAATTTTGTATCAGATTTTTTCTTTTTTTTTGGTCTTCTAGACAGACCTAGTAATTCTCCTTTTTTAAATTCATATCAAAGCTAGCCTCTTTAGTATGACTTCAGTGCTCTCAGTAAACTAACCAAATCTACCCCCTAACATACTGTTCTTTACTTTTTACTTCTTAATTTCAGTCTCTTAGACATTTTTGTTTCCTGCATTTGACCTGCTTAACTTCACTTTAACTCTTGCAGGCGTTCTATTCTCTATTTTAATGTATCACTTTATTTCTTTAAGAATCACATGTTTAAAACCGCTAAGGCTTGAGAAAAATAATAAAAGGAAACAGGAATGATTTCTCTTCCTTGCACACAGGTTAACACAGCAAGTGCTTCTTTATTCACCTGGAATTATTAGAAATATTAAAGTCACACAGAATTTCTGGAATCTTTTTCTGTATTCCCATTTTTTCACGCCGATTCAAGACCTATTTTTCTTTTATAGAAGCCAGCTAATTTCTTATTTCTCTTTTTTTTAATGAAAACTCAGATTTTGCTTTATCGTGTAATGCGATTTTTTTCAGCAAAAGAAAAAATGCTGATAGCATTCAATTCCTCTCTAGTATCTCCTTCCTTCCCTTCTATAATCTTACTGTTCCTTTTTTTCATTCACAACTTCTATTTTCTTCAAAATTTTTTATCCTCTCTTTTCCATCATCCTCTCTACGAATGACCTAGAACTTTCATATTCAACTAGAAGTTAAAAATTTATTTATCAGGTGTGACTCCTTTGGCTCTGGGGCATTATTCTGGATAAGTGTTCTCAATCTGTTTTTTCTAAAAATATGGTATTGATAGAATCTATTAGAGTGTTTCTCTAAATCCGGTGTTGGAAGTGCTGCCCTAAGTCTATCATAACTCTCTATATGTCCCTAAATGAAAAACATTTCTATTTCTTGAATTGCTTGGTGATGCTTCTGTGTGAATGTAATATATTATTGTTTATAATATGAGAGAGTAAATGTTTAAAGCTGAATTTTGTGTTTTCTTGGAAAATTTTATTTTAGCTTGTTTGGGACAACTCCTACAAAGTTGGGTGTGCTGTTACTCCATGTTCAAGAGTTGGACGTATTAGACATGCAGCAATTTTCATTTGCAACTATGCACCAGGGTAAGTTACTTTAAATTAATAAAAGACTATAAAAATAAATTGATGATATTTTAAGGGTAAGTTTCTCTAACTTTTAATATGTTATTATAAGTTTTTATGAATTACAAAATAATTGAATATGAAGTATTAATAAAGACTTTACATTGAAATATTTTTTACTTTATAATGAGATAAGTTATAACTTGGGTATATTGATTTTACTTATATAATAGCCAAGTGTTACCTTTAATAGTAAGCTTAACTCTGGTATTATTTTACAATATCTAGTCTAATTAGCATAGGGTTTAAATTATTCTCCAAAATAGTTCATTTATAATAGAAGTAAAAAGAAAATGAAATTAGGTGTGTTTAAATTTATATAGTAAGGATCGTTTCAGAAATATGTCAGTTTTGTAATATAAAGGACACTTTTAATTGATCACCCCTTGGAGGTTGTATTACTAGTTGAGGCTGGTCTCATATCTATATAAGAAATGTCTCAGAGATGGGGAGCACTTCAGAAATCTTTTATTCAAGCTATTCATATGCAGCTTGATTTTTTCCCATCTATTCATCATGTAAACACCTTCCAGTGGTAGAAAATAACTTTGTCTCAACATAGCTTCCATTTTCAGAGAGGTCTGTTGGAAAGTCCCAAGCTTTCTTACAGGTCAGTATAATACTACAAATAATATCATTATAATTCCAAATAAGTGAGAAAATATTCCTGTCAACATCCTAAATTTAAGAATTGACTACTTACTAAGATTGAGAAGGAATTTCTGCCAAAAAAAATGCTTTGGGACTAAACTAAAAAGAAAAAAAAAAGCGTTGATTGCTGATTGTATTTCCCTAGATAGGATAAACAGTGGAACTAGGATATACTACAAAATAATTCAAAATGATGTAAGTCAAATTAAACTCAGAAACCCTTAACATAGGCCATATGATAAAGATTTTGGAATTTACTCTAAGTAATGACAAAGCCATTGGAAGGTCTTAAGCATGTGAGTGACTTGATCTCATCTATATTTTGAAAAGAACTCTTTCACAAGATTACTCAGGCTGTTAATAAAGAATGGAATATAAGAAAATTAGGATATTAAAGATGGAGTAAAATTATGAGGCTCTTTCTGTATTCCAGGCTACAGATTATGGTATTTTGGATTAAAGTTTTAGCATGTAGATCAGTTTTTCTACTGTTGAAATAATGAATTGCCACGGACCTTCATATGGCTATCTCTGTCTCATGATATGTTTACATTTTCTACATTTATTTTTCTACCTAATATTTCCAAGCATGAAATATATCTCTCAATCTTTATTTGAGTTAATGACATCACTATTCATCCAGTTTTCCAGACTAAAGACAGTTACAGTGTGACTTGATAATTCAGTACCATTTATCCCTAAAGTCAAATCAATTAGCTGGTATTATTAGCTCCACCTTTATAATATATCCAGAAACTGGCCTTTCCTCACAAGTTCCATTTCCATACTATGGCAGGCAGAATTCTAAGGTGGACTACAAGATCACCCACCCTCATATATATGTCATGTATAATTCCCACAGCACAATTGACCTTAAAATATTGAGATTATCCAGACTGACTGTGACTCAATCAGTTGAAAGCAGAGAGTACTTTTTAGTTGATCACAGAAGAGATAGAGCTATCAGAGATTTGAAGCATGAGATTCAAACATGAGATTCTGACATTCCTTTACTGACTCGGAAATTGTGGGAGTCATGTATCTTTAAAAAATATGGGCAACCTCTAGGTGAGTCAACACATGGTTGAGAACCAGCATGAAAACAGAGACAAGAGTCATATAACCTCATGAAACTAAATTCTGCTATCAGCCTGAAAGAGCTTGGAAGCAGATACTGCTCTAGAACTGACAGATAAATGCTTAGTCAACAACTTGATTTTGGCCTCAAAGGCCCTGGGTAGAGAATGCAGCCTAATTGTGCCTGGACTTATGACCTATAGAACTGTGTGATAATAAATGAGTGCTGTTTTAAATCATTAGCAAGAGAGACTGAGATTATGAAGAGAGGCTAGTGAGGTAAGAACTGTGAAACCAGAACTGTGCTGTCAGAGTTTTAAAATACATTTAGGCTTATTTTCTTGTCTGTCCCTTTTTGTTATATATAAAGTTGTTCTCTTTTTATATTCAGTGGTATATCATATTGTAACCATTTTAGACATTAAAATCAGCAGTTTAAATACATAAAATACAAACAAGCATAGAGTGCATTTAAAATAATGACAATGTAAAGAACTATGATAAAGTCAACAATGTGTTGTGATAATATCACATTCATTGCCTGGCCAACTATGATTTTAAGACACCCTAAATGTTAAAATATATTCTGATTTCAGAGATGATAAAAAAATAAAAAGATGTGCATCTTAGAATTTTTAAACATAGTATAAAACTGGAAGAAACAATTCACAAAGCAATATGTGCCCTTAATATGCATAATAAAATAAAAACAAATTATATGGAATATTTTATTCATATAGTTAAATACATTTATTTATATTTTAAAATATTGGTTGTAGAGCGCCGCATTTGACTCATGACCTATTAGTGACTCATTTCTTACAGTTTGGAAAAAAAATGGCAGTTTAGAATACTGTAGATACTTGACAGTGAAGAAAAGTAAATGAGGTATATAAAGTTGAGTGAAAGCTGTTTTTTTACAGCTTTGGTTAATAATACTACAGTCATCCATAAATCAAGAGTAATCAGATGTATTAGAATATTGAGGACTGGGGAGAGAATTGAAAAAGCAAGCTCTGTCTGGAAAGAGGAGAGAATTATATGAAGAGAAAATGTAGAGAAATTACTGAAGTTCTTCCCTTCTTGCTTAAGGGTTCATGAGGATTTAAACTACTTGATTGATCTTTCAAAATAAAAGATTAGGGGATTTATTTATCTTCTATCATTCCCTTATTTGTTTTCAGTTTTATTTTGAGCTATTCGATCTTCCAAGTATTTGAGGGTGAGGGATTGTTATATGTTGCTGTTTTTGTTATTAAGACATACAGCAGCCCGGGCTCAGTGACTCAGCCTGTAATCCCGGCGCTTCGGGAGGCCAAGGCAAGTGGATTGCCTGAGCCTGTGGGTTCGAGACCCGCCTGGGCAATTTGGTGAGCCCTCATCTCTACAATAAATCAAAAATTAGCTACTTGGAAGCCTGAGGCAGAAGGATCACCAGAGCCCAGCAAGGCGAGGCTGCGGTGGCCAGGAGCATGCCACTGCACTCCAGTCTGGGCAACAGAGTGAGACTTCAACTAAAAAAAAAAATAAAATAAAATAAACATACAGTATCCCTATATCTGTAATTCTCCTTAATATTGAATATATTTACAGTTGTATATTTTTCTTCAATTATAATTTTTTCTGGATCTTAGGATCTCATGTGATATGGCCTCTTATTGCACTCCATGGATTGAAAATTTTAGGTCATTTGATAAAATATATTTAATACTTGATGTATATTTATGAGGGAAATTTCAAGGAGGAATGAACCTTTTCATCCTTTTCTTCAGTTACCCTCCCAATATTTTATCCTAAAAGATATATTCTGTGCATATGCAAAAGTACGTCATATCTTTGTGTGTGTATTTCCGTACTTCCAATGAGAGTGCACTAAGCTTTCTGTGATGTTCCTCAATTTTTTTTTTTTTTACTTTAGGATATACTCTGGAAGCCTTTCTATTTGAGTGCTCAGGTTCCTGATGCTTTTTAATGTATTAATAGTGTTTTTTAAATAGGTATGCAAAAGTTTATTTAAACAATGCTCTCCTTTTGACAAACATTTAGGCTGTTGTTATTTTTATTACAAACAATGTTTCTGCAGTTATCTAAATAAACATATAATTCTCACACAAATAAATATCTGTAATATAAATTAACAGTCATGAAATTACTAGGTCAAAAAACATATGTACTTTCAATTTTGATAAATATTACTAAGTATCTATTCGCTGTTGTTGCACTATTTTCTTATTACAAAATTTCTTTTTGCATCATTATAGGAGAGGGCCTGTTTTCAAACTCCCTTGATAACACAATGTATTTTCAAAGATTTTGCTCTTTACTAGTATGAGCTCATTATATTTTTAATTTTCATCTCTGCAAAGGTTCTCTGCCACTTGGATGAGTCCAGTGAGACAGAACACTCGCACAAAAAGTCAGACAAGGCAAACATTATATTCAAATAGGTGGCAAAAACAAACAGAAGCCTAGGATTCATGGTGAGAACCAGTCTACCATGCCTCTGAAAAGCTGCTTAGGGAGGATGAAGTCTCATCTATGAGTATTTGTGCTCCATGTCACATTGCAATTTGAGGGACCCCTAAAGTACTCTGCCCTGCGTTTTATACACTGAGCACAACTTGGATCACTTAGTTCAAGTGCTGCAGAATATTCTGTTCTAGGTGGGATGAGGACATAGCCTGGGTGGTTCTGGATAGTTCCTCCTTATCTCAGGACACTGCATTCTTGGCACACTTCAAAGTTATTCTGAGAAATACAAGTGGGAAGGGGGAGAACTCGGTTGTCCAAGGCCATCTGGGGACCTGTCCTCCTACAGTCTCCTATTTCAGGTGAGTTTATGTATCTTTTTGTATGTTGCAGAAAATTTGGTTTTAATTTTCTGGTACCTGATTGTTCCTATAAATTTCCTATTTTTCTCTTAAGTTGTTAGACCTTTTATTTTTTTTTCAGTTGTAAGAGTTCTTTGTATATCAAAAAAATTAGCTCTTTCAGGTATTATAATTTACAAATATTTTCCCAGTTTGATCTTTAATGTTTGACTTTACTTGTGATACAATCTATTTTTGTCAAATTGAATTATTTTTATTATAGAAAAATATATCAATAATTTTTCATGGGTTTTGAGGTTTGTGTCATAATTAGATAAACCTTCTCAGAATATTATTGCTATTTTTAATGCTCTCACATTTTCTTCTAGCAGTTTTTCATTCTTCTAAATATTTTATCCATTT